ACCTCTCGCAGGATGATAGTTTGCACATAGATGAGATGTTCTAGTCTACAAACATTTGCTCAATTTAGATTTGGAGCAGCAACGACAACATGTTCCAAAATTGCGTGTGTGTCAAAGGCTAGGAACCCTGGCGTTCGCCCACAGATCCGGTTGGGTGATTTGGGCGTTTGCTCACCATGGTACAGATTCATGCCCAAGCTATGTACCTCCACAGTCGCGGAGTTAAATCAGGAGTCCCGCCCTGGCACCCAGGCCCTCGCGCTTCTTGCGCAAGATGTGGTTGTAGACAAATTTCCATCCTGGAAGTTTCAACCAATGCAATCCAGCACATGACGAAGGGGAGGCCAATCATGAGTACACCAAGTACAAATATCCAGTACCTCGTACCAACCCATTGGTCTGAACCCCCATCCTTGCTGAGGCTGGCGTTCCTTTTGAAAGAGAATGCAATTTGACGGATTTCTCCTTCTTTTGTTGTTGCATGGATCAGCTTGAACGGGTTGCTCTGCGTGCAGTGCTCCGTGTCATAGCCCGGAGGCAGTTCCTCAGACTGGCGCCACATTCCAGATGTGCTTACTGAGCTTGACGACATGTACAACTGTGCGGAGAAAGCATTTGTTGCCTATGCAAATTCAAAGGACTCAAAGGCAATTTCTATTACTATTGTGGATTAGGTGGTGCATATCTGCCCAATCGCGGATCAACAAGGTGAGTTACTTATCTTTTTGCTACTGAGTCACTACTGGGGTAGACCATATTTAGATACACAACGTGCACAAACTCTACACTGCACAGCCGTCTTGAACACATTCTCCAGACTCAAACCCGCTATGCCAATTCTCAGGCGCTCTTGAAGGGATCAACCCGCATGAGATCTCATGTGTATCAATCCGCCCGCCAGGCATGGCGTTTCAGATGTGATTCAGGCCATGAATTGATGCAAACAGATAGGAACACGTGGTTCACATCGAAAGAAGAATCGGAAAACTCTTCAATTTCCTGTATTCTGTGTCCAACATGCCTTCAGGCTGCTTAAAGAATCATCCTGTGCACGTTGCAGTGACAGGTCTGGACCCCGCTGGGTCGGAAACCCAACGCACAACGAACGCGTACGACGCGTCGTCGGAAACTAGCCGTTCATGCTGATTCATGCTGATTCAATGTCCAGGACTGCTTGAGGGCGGTTGAACATAGAAGTGACCTTGAGGTTGGGGCATACAGGAGAATTTGCTTCTGGGATCTTTTTGGAGCATCGCTTCATGTGTGTGTGTTATGTTTTTTGCGAAATACAACTTTTCCCACAGGAATGGCCCAGGAATGGCCACGCAAAAGACTCGCTCTTTTGTTGGCGGATGGCTGAGAATCAGAGTACTGTAGTTTTGAAAGCTCCTTGGCGCAAGCTGCAAAAATATTCTCACACGTTACACACAAGAAGCACAATTAACATCTGCATTTGGTCGCAACTTGGGCGTCCTCGGAAGGGTTGCAGGTTTGAGAATCGGCGCTAGATGCAGAAACTGACATGATCCTTGTTCGCAAGTGTACATCTGCGAAGGCCTCCTCTAAAAATAAGATACCATCGTGGCCAAAGAGCATGGGAACCATCATCACAAGGGAGTCCAACATCGTGGACCAAAACAAGCACTCACTTGTGGGAATATAATCGCGACCCCTTCGATTCCCAGGTGTGTAATTGCAGAATATTGCAGATCCATCTAAAATTACATGCGAGACAAAATGAATCCCATTCCACAAGAAGAATAGTTCCTTCAGTTCCTTCCCCTTTCTAAATGCCGAGGTCCGGTAACGCATTCAACGCTCGCTTCATGACACACTAAATTCACCAAAAACAACATATATATTATATAATATATACATAATATACATTGACATATTATATATATATATAGTAGTAGCTGGAGGGAAATTAACCACAGAGTGATAACACCAAATCTCAGGTTGTGGTTAGAGCCTCCGAACGAACAGGAGTGAAGTCCTCTCAAAATACAACCCTTGAAAGCCACCACTGCTTCCGGTGCCAACGGTTCTGGACAGCGCGTGTTCTGCCCGAGGTGCCCAGACCAGGTCGCGGTTGCCGGCGGCCAATGGGCGCTCAGTGACCACCAGCGTGGCAATGACGACCAACGACACCCGGAAGTCCATGCCGAAGAGGCCTCCCAGCGGAGGCAGCGGAGGGCTCGCTCGAGTCCGGCGGGGTCCGGTGCGGCGCGGTGACGCAAAACGCGGGGCGGCCGGTTCTCTTCTGCACAGCGAAGCGAGCAGAGTTTGATCGGAACATCCACTGAACGTCATGAAACTGCTCCATAGTTCTGTGAACATGGCTGGAAATCTTGTGGGGGAGATACTGTATGGGGAGATGAGATAAGGGAGAGGTGCCCAGGAAGGACGCAACGTGCTTTTGTGGTTCACTTCTCATGCCTCAGGAAAAGGATCATGCCATTGTGTCTTCCAAAACTTGACATTCAAAGCGAATTCTCGACCTGGTATTGAAACTGAATCTCGATCTAGACGTTCTAATTTTTACCCTCCCGGCACGCAATGTGACCACTCAGGTCGTGAAGTTCAAGAGCCATCTATCTGTACCTGCAGCAGTGCAATTGAACCTGACATTTCAACTTGCATCAAAGTCTCGTGCGGCCTTCAAACGTGTCCCATCCCATCTATGCTGATGTCCACATCCCAAGGAAAATGTCGCCTATGCCAATGGAGAGCATCAAATAGAGCTCGGCAGTCCAGCCGAAGCACTTAGTGCTGGGTGTATAGTGGATGTCTCCAAGCAACCTAGGCTGCGTGCTGCGGTAGCACCGCAATACCCTCAGGTCCATTGCAATGTGGGCCTGGCAACACCAAAATTACGCCAGTTTGGGCACTCCATGACCTCTTCAAATGGATAAATGCATTCAAAACACCTTAATATTTTTTAGCAGCAGTTGTGGTCTCGGACTTTTGTATACAATATAAGGACTAAGGACAATCTGAAGAATCCTTGATACGTTTCAATTTGTCCCAAACCCAATGACCAGCCATGAAAAACTATGGTGCCTCACAATGCTGTAGGTCAATGCCAGCTTGCTTCACAATCTACCATATCCGCTGTTAACCGCAAGTGTCCGCAAATGGCCACAACAAACCGCAAGATAGTTGATGCCCAAAACCATCGTGTCCACGTCACTTGGGGAATATGTAGTACATGCAGGTTCTTTATATAATATAGTCTCCTAGGGCATCCATTTGGTTCATTTTAACAGTATCGGTGATCCAGTTCAATTGCCCAAATATCTTAAGTGGTGCATCACTTCTGCTTCCAGTTGTAGCGGCCGAACTCTCCCACTGTTAATTTGCCTCGCTAGGCTTGGTGTTATCTCCTGCAAAGTGTGCAAATTGTCACACCAAAACGAATACCCAGTGAAAACCACGCCAAAGGGAAAAAACAACCATGGCAGAAACCCTGCATCCCATACAATGCTTGACCTTGTCAAGAGAAGAGGGGTGCACGTTTACAGTAGTTCGGGATCTTTCAACTTTTGTGATGTGTGTTATTTCAATCCTTGAAACTCACAAATCAGCACTACTTACAGCAGCCTAGTGTCCTTAAAAGGAAATGCATTGCGGGTGCAAGGCGGAGTGAGTGGCTGGGTTCTTTAACAGAAACAACAGCGCAGGGCTAACACTTGAAAGAAACAGCTGTCACAGCAAGCCAAGTGGAAAAGTAGTGCAGATTTCGAGGCTGGTGCAGTGGAGCGTGATCGACATTTCAACGCTATTTTCGTTAGCGCTGGAGGAAGTTTGGGGGAAGAGCGCGTGCTTGGATGTTTCTGTTTGCAACTGCTTGCGTCTTGGCAGTCACGCTCTTTTGTTTCTCTCAATTTTGATGGTGTTTGTTGGGGTTGGCTCTACTCACTTGCGCACGCATAACTCACCACCTCACTTATGCTGTGAAGGGGCCATGTCCAAAACCTCGCCTGCGCATGCAACAGTTAACTCATGCCTACGCTGCGACTCACTTGCGCACAGAGGTCTGTTGCTACAATGGAATTGTACCTTCCTCCTCTAAATTTTACCCCCAGTGGCTCACAAAAGGTCTCCTACCTTGGAATGGCCCCTTCCTCGCCTTCCTCCTCTATATTTTGCCTCGGGTGGCTCACAAAAGGTCTGCTACCTTGGCATGGCTCCTCGCCTCGCTCTCACCTAAATTTTGGCTTTAATGCGTCTTGCAAGCACCACATGTAAGCAGCGCTGTAAACAAGAGCAACAAAAAGCAACATAAGTTACAGAAGCAACAAAAAGCAGAAAAGCAGCAAGAGCAGCAAAGCAACCAAAGCAACAAGAAGACAAACGCGCCGAGTTAAAAACAAAAAACGAGCACCGAGGCAAACCCCAAAAGAAAAATAAACAAACAAAAGCAGCAAAACAGTAAAACTCAAAGCAAGTCTGTAAAAACAATACCCTCCCAAAGAAAAGCTAATCAGCTAATTAAGCCTAGACGAGGTTTTCCAACCACTTAAGCTGATCTGTGACTATCAACACAGGTGAAGGTGGGGCCCATTTGGCACCGACCGCCAAGAAGCCCAATGCCCGCCAATCCAGGAAAAGTACCTCAGCTCCGTCCGCTCGAACTGGCATGTTCTGAGATTGCTTAGGAAGTAAAAGGGAAACGTGGACAAAAAAGTAGATGGAAATGTTTAAGCAAATATATAAACCGCAAAGGTCCAGACTTTGCTGGCGAAGTAAGAATGAACACATACATACTGCATGAGGAGGAGGTGGAGCAGCTTGGCATTGGAGCTTTGATTAGGTGTTCATCTATAGCTGACCCATGTTAAGATACACATGTCAGTGGAAGAAATGGGTGTAGGTGAACAAGCACATGCAATAACACCTGCGAACAAACAATAAAGAGCAAATAGATGTTCCCAGAATTGTTTGCCTAAGGTGCTCCATTTGTTCGGTGATGTGGTGTGTAGATTCGACCTACCTACCCCCCAGCAAATCGGAGGCCTCGCTGACTTCGCCCAATGCAGGTACCACGGAGGGTTCCGCGAACGTCCGGAACCGGACTCTTTTTGATCTTCACAGCTCGCATGGCTAGCACGGCTCGCATGGCTCTCTTGCGTCCACAGTGAGATCCTGAAGTTCCAAGGTCTGCAAGGCTGGGAAGCTGGTCGCGAAGGGCGCAGTGCCTCGATAACGCTTGTGGAATCGCAAGGTCCTGTGGCTCCGGTGTGACGCTCTGCTCGTCCATCGAGACGAGAGACGCAAATAGCAATGGAGGTGGGTAGCAATGGAGGTGGGGACAGAACATGAACTAAGGCTGAGGTATGTCTTACACGGTACAGTTATGTGTTTTGCAGAGCCATTGAGCACATCTTGAAGCTTCGTCTCCGGGTCAATTGTTTATGCTGTAGCCACTGCTCCTGAGCTTGGGAAGCTGAAGATCCGCCAAGCTCTGGGCGAAGTCCTCTCCGAAGTGCAACTCTTCGAGGTTCGGCAAATTCCAAGGCCCCACTCTCCTCGAGGGTGAGAGCCCAGTCGGACGGGTCGCACATGGTCGCACGGAGAGCGGAAAAGGCGGTGTCCTTTCTTTATCGTTTTGTTCTTGGGACGTGTTTGTAATCTTGCCTTGCTCTTTTTAAGACAGGTTTTCTGTTAGAGCTTATTAGTGTTTGTATGTGTTTTGCTTGTTGTTTTAGATGTATTTGTGTCTGCCTGTTCTGACATTGTTTTTGTTTTTTCTTTAGCCGTGCGTGTTTGATTGTTTTTCTTCAGGCCTTTTTTCTTTAGACCTGTTTGTGCTTGTTCATTCTTTAGACCTGTTTTTGCTCTTTAGACATTGTTGTTTGTGTCTGTCTTTAGACCTTGTTTTCCCCTGAGACCTGTTTCTTGATATAAAGGCATTTTTATCCTGTGTTGTCATGTGTTTGTGTGGTTTCTGTTTCGCTCTTTTCTTTACAGTAGGTGTGGTCTTTTGTCTTTGGTCCTGTTTCCTTTTTTGTTACGTGGTTTCTCTTGGTTTGCTCCAGACTTGTCCTTTGGGACCTGTTTTTGATCGTTGTTCTATATTTGATCTTTCTGTTCACGTAATTTGTCTCTTTAGACCGCTTGTTGTTTTGTTGTTCTTTAGTATGTTTGTTTCTTGTGTTTCTGTAGACCTTTGTGATTTTTTTACACCCGTTTTATCTTCTAGACATGTTTTAGGCGTATGCTATATGTTTGTTCTGTATATAGACATTTATGTTTTATCGTTTATCTTTAGACATTATTCGGTGTTCTTCTTCAGAGGTGTGCTGTTTAAAAAAAAAAGACATATATATATATATATATGTTTTTTTGTTGAAGCTGTTTTCTTGTTTAGATCTGTTTGTGTTTATTTTGTGTTTCTTTTGACCTTTCTTTTGCACTGCTTTTCTTTGGACCCTTTTGCACCGTTGTTTTTTTAGTTTCTGTTTAGACGTGTTGTTGTGTGTTCTGTTTTTGATCAGCCTGTTTAAACACAAAATTGGTTTAGACATGAATGAGTGCTGTTTTCTTATGAACGTTATTTTTCTGTTTTGTTGTTTAAGACTGTTGTTTTTGTTTGTTCAATAAATATGTTATCTGACCTTTCCATTTACACCTACCGCTTTTCTTTTGACCTTTTATTTGCTAGACAACTTCTCTTGTTCTATTTGGCCATGCCTTTGTCTTCTTCTTTAGAAACTGTTTTTCTTTAGATGTTCCTCCTGTTAAGGTAGATGGTTTTTCTTTTTGACCTCTTTCAATGTCAGTCTTCTTGGTCGGACATGGTGGACACCATGGTGTCACCGGTTTGGTGTGCGGATTGCGTATGCTGTGTTTTGGTGGGTGGCTGGGGCAAGATCATGATGTGCCCTCTTGTTCAGAGGTGGGGACAAAAGGCCAGTTGCTGGTTTCAACCTTGTTCAATGAGTCGATGACCATGGGGCAACTGACCTGATCCCAGCAAAACAGCACATAACAGCACCTGCTACCATGTTCTGTTGGACCCGAACAGGCCACCAACGGCTACCAAGGCTCTGGTTGAACTTGAAGCCAAACGTCAAAGTCCGCAGAGATGGTGGCAAAGTCACCAGCTGAAGACTCTGGTTGAAACTGCTACCAAAGCTCAAGGCTTCAAGGCATGGAGGCAAGGACGCATGGTTTAAGCTTTGGTTAAAGGCTAAACCAAAGCTCAGGTTCTTGAGGTGACTTGGCCAAGTCACACGATCCAACGTCTGGTTGAAACGATTGAATCTTCCACCGAAGGTCAATGACTCGAGCTCTTCTGGAAAGTTCACCCCTTCCAGAGTCTGATTAAAAGACTCGCCCAAGATGAGCTTCTGGAGGCTGGGAAAAGTCAAGTGGGTCAAAGCCTGATTGAAGCTTTTGCCAAAGGTCAAGGAAATCAAGCTATCTGGCAGAATCACTCCCTCCAAGGGTTGGTTGAATTCATCGCTGAAAGTCAAAGTCTGGAGGTTACTTGGCCAACAAACTCGCTGCAGGCTCTTGTTGTAGATGGGTCCCAAGATCATCGTCTTCAGGCTATTGGGAAGATTCACTGCTGCTAGACTCAGTTTATAGATACGGCCCAACGTCAGGCTTCCAAGGCTGCCAGGCAACGTCACGTGCTCCAAAGACTGGTCAAAGTTATTGCCAAAGGCCAGCTGTTGGAGTTGACTTGGTAAAGTCACTCGATCGAAACTCTGATTGAAAGAAGCTCCTAAGGTCAAACATTGGAGGCCGTCAGGAAGATCGACTTGCTCCAAACTCTGGTTGAACTTGGCACCAAAGCTCAGACTCTGGAGGCTACGAGGCAAAACCACTCGCTCCAGACTCAGGTTGAAGCTACGCCCAAGTGTCAAACTCTTGAGGTTCTCTGGCAACTTTACATGGTCCAGGCTCTTATCAAAGTCAGCACCCAGCACAAGGCTTTGGAGGCTGCTTGGCAGCTCAACTCGCTCCAAAGTGCAGTCGAAAGCATGGCCAAAGGTCAGTAGCTCCAAGCTGCGGGGAAAGATTATTCCTTCCAAGCTGGACTGGAATGAAAAACCAAAGACGAGCGCTCTCAATTGGCTTGGCCAAGTTACTCCTTGCAAACTTTGATTGAAATGGGTGCCCAACACCAAACTCCTAAGGCCATCAGGTAGTTTCACTTCAGTCAAAGGCTGGTTGAACTGCGCACCGAACGTTAAGTCCTGCAGAGTGTCCGGTAAATTCACATGTTCCAAGCTCAGATTGAAAGCGGAACCAAAGGTCAAGCTCTTCAGGCTGGGCCACTTCACAAGCTCCAAGCTCTGGTTGAAGCCTGCACCAAATCTGAGGGACTGCAAACTGCTTGGCAGCCTCGCTCTCTCGATGACTTCATCAAAGTTATCATGAAAGCTGATGCTTCTGACGCTGTCGGGAAGGTGCCGCAGCTCATGCCAATTTTGAATCCCGTGAAGTTGTGCCACTCCATCGAGGGTGAACTCCTCATCTTCGGGAAGTTCCCCCAGCCTTTTCATGAAGCTCCACGCATTCTGCACGTCTACTGGTACATAGATATACGACAGTCGTGGCGCTTCCACAATACCTTGTTCCTGTAGCCAATTGGATGCTATTCACCCAAAGTATTTTAAACAATAAATAAATAAATAAA